ATCTTTAATTGTAACCGAGACAGTCGTATTTAACTTTCTGGAAACAATATTATTGAATTATTATTCTCCTAAAACCGGTTTAATTTTGAATCCTGCCACAGGTGACGAAGAAACAATTCAGGAAGCTATTGATAATAAGTTGATTGACCCAGAAAGTACTAAAATTAAAGATGATCAACAAAGAAAAATAATCGGAATAAAAGAGGCAATTGACACGAACTTGTTAGATACCGAAAAGGGAGTCCTGACTCATCCGTATCTTACATTAGACCAAGCTTATAACAAAGGCTACATTTTAAGTACGATTTTGCCATGGTCGCTTCAAGAAACATTAGCCCAAAAAGTATACGATCCCCTTACCGGTTTATTCGTTATTAACAATTACTCGCTAACTTTAGAAGAAGCCATAAATGAAAATTTCATAAATCAGAACGTTTTAACAATTAAAGACCCTTGTACAAATGACATTTTAACACTTAAAGATGCCATTAAAATAAATATTATTGATCCTAAGAAAGGTGTCGTGTATGAACCTGGAAGTAAACTTGAACTTAACTTATACGATGCTCAAGATCGAGGAATTATAGTTCCTTACAAAAATCAACTTAGTTTACCAGAAGCAGTTTGCAAAGGCTTCTATGACCCAAAAACAGGCAAATTTATTAATCCTAAAACAAAACAGAAATATAGAACAGATCCTGCTATTCGCAGAGGTTATCTGGATCCGTCATCTACGTTAGTGACAATCGATGAAAATGTTTACACATTCGATCAAGCTGTAGAAGGAGGTCTTATAGATACAAACGAAGGTCGAATAGTTCTCGACAAGCAGCGAACGTTTGACTTTAGTGAAGGTTTCGAAAAAGGACTTTTAGTAGAAGTTAAGCCTCCTGTTTCTTTAAGTGAAGCTTTGCTAAAACTGTATCATCCCGAAACACGACTCTTTTTAGATCCTCAAACAGGCTATTACGTAACTCTCATTGAAGCCATTGAACTAAACATAATTGATCCAGAAAATGTACACGTTAAGGAAACAAGATTAGGTGTGTGGAAAAAGCTTAAATTGGAAATTGATATCTATTTAAAAATGATATCCTGTTTTTTTGAATAATAAAAATACGTTGTTATCATTTAAAAATGTAATTTAAAGAATGCAAATTATTCTGAGAAGGAAATATTACATTCGTCATGTTTAACTACTTATTGAAGTTGTGGTTAATTTTCAATTATATTACAACAAAAGTGTTTTTAATTATAATTCTATTAAACTTTTTTTTTCGCTTTCAGCGATTAGTTGAGCAAATGGAACCTCAACTGTTTAAAACATTCCGTTCTGAATTTCACATAACAACATCTTCCGAGCAATCGATATCTTACTCTTCCTCGTCAGGGTACAACAAGCAGTAAGTTATTTTATTGTATTTTGTTGTGGCTGTTGCACTTTTATCCTTACATTTTAATTTTTGTGTGATGTGCTACATTTACATTTAGATTGAAATCGTCCAAAGAAAATATAACCTCCACTAAGAGAGGAAGTAATGGAGTAGAAGAACTGAGTATAACAAATGGTCGTCCCCCCGATAAATATACTTCAACAACTGCTATTTACCAGGATCCCCAGCAATGGGGCTCTACAATGCAATTTAGTGAAATTAAATCTTTAAAACGGGTGCATAAGGTGAATGAAGGAATTGGAACCGACAGTATTATTGATACACCAAGCATAATTAATCCATTTACTGGTGAAATTATGACTATAAGAGATGCTATCGCTTCTCGAATCATAGATGTTCGCACTGCCAAAATAGTAATATCATCAGATGGAAGTCAAATCCCCATTTCAGAAGCTGCAAAACAAGGCTTAATTGAACCGAAGGTAGTTGAGCGGCTTTACGGGCCTTGTGGTATAATTGAAGACGAACATGCAATAACTCTTCTTGAAGCTATTCAGCGGGAGATACATGAAGCCGAAAGGAGCTTTATAGATCCATCTGAGAAACAAGTAAAGGTAAAGCACAGTAGTAGCTCTGATGAGCTCGATAACAATGACAGTGTGGATGTACCACAAAAACGTTATATGGAGAGCGACCAAACGTTATCAATTAAAGAAGCTACTAAAAAAAATCGTATTTATTCAAAGCATCAGGAAGTTAAAATAAAAACTGTTCCGGTATGTTTATATGATGCACTTGGTCAAGGTCTAGTTGATGATAGAACGGGTTGGATTGTGGATCGAAATTCGGGTAATAAATATCAAATTGACGCAGCAATAAATACAAACATAATTGAAAACAATATTAGAGAAATTGTTGATAGTAAAACAGATCGTAAAATCACTGTAAGTGAGGCTATAGATGAGGGAATAATTAATCCAAAATTAGGAAAATATTGTTTACCCCATGAAAAGATTTCCTTTTTGGAAGCTAGGCGAAGACAGTTTATCATTAAACCGTTAACCTTAAAAGACGCGTATGAATTAAACCTTTTAGATGACGAAGGTAATGTATTTTCACCTTTACATAATAAACTAAATATTTTAAACGCGATTGATTGTGGTGTATTAGATTATGATAGTGTTAAATCTGTGATTAATAGAGAAACAAGCGCTTTATTAACATTAAAATCTGCTTTAGAGGAAGGTATAATTCAACCTAATGGAATTTATAAAGATAATGTTACGGGTGAAACATTTACAATTGCTGAAGCAGTGCGCCGGGGTTATATTACATCAGTTGCCCAAAAATCAATTTTTGATATCGACGGGTTCCAAACGCCAGATAAATCTGGCTATATTAGCTTTAACGCGGCTAGTTCAAAAGGTTTTATAAGTAAAAAACAAGGAGGTAGTTTAGTAACAAATATTAAAAATGGAAAACTGATATCATTCAAAGAGGGGGTAAAAACAGGGGAAGTAAAACCTGAAATATACAACATGTTAACAAGAAAAGTAGGCATATTTGAAGAAGGCATAGAACTCACTGTTGTTGAAGCTGTTTTCAAAGGCTACATTAATCCTAAAACTGGAAACTTTATAGATATCAGTAAGAATAAAATAGTACCTTTAAATGATGCTATATCACAAAACCTTATATCGCCTGAAGGGGCATCACTATTAAATAGTCTATTAATGGTTAATGTAACAACCCAAACGACCTGTAAAGTAATTCAACGTTATGTAACTGTTACCACTTGTGGTGAAAAATATCTTCACAGTAAATTAACATACACAGAAGCAATTCGAAAAGGTCTTATTGATAACGAAAGTAAAACATTTAGAAATCCTGAAACAAATGAAGTAATTTCAATTGCTCAGGCACTTCAAGAAGGAAAATTGTCACCAGATGAAAACAGCTCTAATGAAAACGTAACTGTACAAAAGCAGATTGAATCAGCTAATAAGTCAATTGACGATCAACCGGAAAATAGGGTTTTAACAACGTGTAAAGAGAGAATTAATTTACCTATACACTCAGAAGATTTTATAGAAATAGAAAAAAGAAATACAATTTTTTCAAATACTAAAGTTGAAATTCCTGCAGAGGGATGGAATTTATCTGACGCAATTAAACAAAAGATGTTTGATTGTGAGACGGGACTTTTTACTATCACGGGAACAGACAGATTGGTAAGCTTTGAAGAATGTATTAAGCTAAAGATTATAAATCCACAGTCTGTAATAGTTGTTGATCCTAAAAGTCAAAGAAAAATAAGCATTTCGCGCAGTATTGATAAAAAAATAGTAGATAGTACTGGCCATTATAATTTAGACAAAAGACGTATTACTATGAAAGAAGCAATTGAAAAGGGTTATATTTTATTAGAAGAAACAATGGATGTAGACCTTACTCCATTGACAAGTCCAAGAATCGCAGAAAGAGCGTATGTTCATCAAACTCATAAAGTTCCTGAACCGGTAAAATTAGAAGAAGGAGTTATTTTTGACCCAAGTACAACTTTAATAATATTACCCGAAAAAAGCGAATCTTTACAGCTACTAAAAGCGCTTCATGAAGGTAAGATTTCACCTAATACCGTTAAGATTATAGACCCTACCACAAACAAAGAAGTAGATTTTAAAGAAGGACTTGCTAAAAATATTATAAATCTTGAGAAAAATACAATGAAAAACAAAAAAGGAAATGATGTACCTTTGAGTGAAGCAGTAAGAAGTGGACATATAACTGTCGCGGGAACTCCGCTAGTTGCAGAAAAACAAATAGTTAAGCATGTTCAAAAAATGTTAGTTCATGATTCTCAAAGTAATGATTATATTCCTATTGAAATCGCATACGACATGTGTCCAGTGGAAGAGAAAAGCGCAGAAATTGCACAACAAATAGTATCAAACACTCCTCAATCGACAATTGAAACAAAATCGAAAATTGTTTTAGACAGTGTTAAAGTAACTTGTCCAACAACAGGTAAAATTTATACTGTTCATGAGGCAATTCAAGCAGGGATGTTAACACCGGATTTTATCGATAAATTAACGGATTCAGAAATTCAATATGACGTTGCAACATTAATAGATTCGGATGACAAAAAGTTTTTAACTCCTGGTGAAAAAGTTCGGGGACGAATAACTGTTGAACCAAAATACAAAGTTTTAATAGGATGCGCTCAAACTAAAACGCCAGAATCGGAAGCTAAAAAAGTTGTTCTTCAAAAATTACGAAAAAGAATAGTAAGACCAAAAGAAATGCTTGAAAAGGGTTTAATTGATCCTCAAACAGCAAAACTTCTTTCTAAGAAGGAAATATTTTCTACTCCTGAAGGCGAATTATTAACATTGCAAGAAGTTTTGGAACTAAATAAAATAGATGGCAACTCAGGCCATATTGTAGATCCTCAACATGGTGACATTTTAACTATTAATGAAGCTGTAGAAAGAGGTATTTTAGACGGTAACGGTACAAATGAAATTCTAGTTCCATTAAATAGAAGCTTATCAGTCCCAGAACTTTATAAACAAGGCCTCATTGAACCAAACACCAACAGAATTATTCATCCCGAAACGGGAACCAATTTAACCCTAAGAGAAGCTGTTATTTGTGATATTTTAGATCCTTTAAGTACCTTAAAAGAACCATCAGGACAAAATATAACGTTGGAAGAAGCTCTTGCTTTTGGAATTGTGGATGATGTAAATACTACAGTTAAAACTGTACTGGGATCTGTAGATTTACAAACTGCAATTAAAACACATATTTTTAACGAAGAAGTACAAAAAGGTCCCGAGAAACTGCCTCCTGTTGGAATGACATTTCCAATTGCTGTCAGAAGGGGGTTAATTGATTCTAAAACACAAGAAATCGTTCACCCAATTACAGGAGAACGGATTCCAATCAAGAAAGCAATTAATAATGATTTTATTATGGCACTGCCATTTTCTGTTAATTCTGAAAGTATAGATGTTGAAAAGGCATTAGAAGATAATTTAGTAGACGTCGATAATAATGAATTCAAAAACCCAAAAACAGGAGAAATTGTTTCTATTTCTGAAGCAGTACAAAGTGGGCAATTAATGATCAAACCCATTACTGAAGATATTCCGTTAACATCAGAACCTGTTACAACTGTAACAGAAACTGTTACATCTGTGCACACTGTTACTACTAAAATAATTGAATTACTCACAGGTTATGCATTAATCAACAAAGACCAAGTTGAAAACTTACAAACAGGTGAAATATTATCAATCGAAGAAGCAAAGCAAAGAGGCATTATTGTTGATGAAAAAGAGTCCAAGAATACTACAACATTAAAAGACATAAAAGTTTCATTTTCTGATGCTCTAAAAAGAGGATTAGTCGATATTGATACAGGTACATACACTGATCCTGACTCAGGTAAAGTAATTGAAATAAAAGATGCAATTAAAGAAGGAATTTTAGATGCCGTGTCTTCAGTATCACCTGAAAGTGATAGTAAGAATCAAATGAATGAAATGAACATCGCTGAAGCCTTTGATAGTAGCGTATACGATCAGACAACTGGTAAATTTAAAGATCCCCAAAATCCTGATTCTTCACTAACATTTTCGGAAGTCCTCGAGAAACAGATAATAAATCCAGATTCTGTTATTTATGACGTAAACAATAAGCAACCAATTACTGTGAGGGAAGCTGTAGAAAAAGGTTTAATTGATTCTAAATCAGGTGAGGTAAAAGTCGGAAACACAAGTACTAAAGTTGATTTTAAAGAAGCTGCTAAAATGGGATTAATAGCTGTCGTTGGAGGATTAGCTGCTCCGATTATTGCTCCTGCTCTTGCAGGAAAAGCTATTATAAGTGCTATAAAAGAAAGAGCAAATAAAGAATATACTCAAAATAAGGTAACCAGAGAAACGATATCTTCTGTTGGTTCGCTAAGTGAAGAATCTGTACAAAATGCAAAAATAAGTGAGAGTGAAGGTTCTGTTACCATTAATAACTTAACAAAACCAAAAGAATTGCCGGATATCGCTACTGCAGAAATATCTGAGAATCATACCAAAATGCCCCTTGATGTGGCTATAAAAAACAAAAAAATAGATCCATCTGTTTGCATAGCTATTCACCAAGGAAATGTATTACCTGATACTGTATTTCATTTGATAGAAAGGAATGAAATAGATCCAAGTGAAATTGTAGAGGTAATAGATGATAATAAAATTATTTTGGTAGAAAGAAAATTGAATTTGCCTGTTTTAGAAGTTTCTAAAGAATGCGTAACTCCTCAAAAATTATCTGAAATCGGAATTTATGATATTCAAAGGCATGCCTTTGTAAATCCTCAGACTTTTGAGTACATTAAGTTTGAAGAGGTGGTGTATAAGCTACAGATATTTGATCCCAATAAAATCCTTGTTAAAGATTTATCAAAGAAAATACCTACTTACGTAACATTAAAAGAAGCATTACAGAAAACTTTAATTGATAGAAATACTGGTTACATGGTTGATCCAAAAACTGGAAAACGCATTTCCTTTTTTGAAGCTATAAAATTGAAATGGATAATAAATATAGATGAAAAACCAAAAGAAAAGATGCCTTCGTTAACATTACAAGAAATTGTAGAAAATGATAGTTTGGACCGTAAAACAGTTACAGTAAAAGACCCAGTTTCTGGTAGTGATATAAGCTTAATTGATGCATTGAATACAAATATTGTAGACCCAAAATCAGTTAGTATACGAGATCCCAAAAACATGCAAATAATTCCGTATTTTGATGCTGTCGATTCTAAAATTGTCGATGTGAAAAAAGGATTATTGGTAAATACAGACACATTAAATGAAATTCCCTTTCCACAAGCTTTTCAGGAAGGTTACATTTTGACTCTCAGAAGACCCATTTCTTTGGAAGCAGCTGTAATTAAAGGGTTGTATGAAAATGAGTCTGGCAAAATAAGAGACTTTCTAACGGGACAATTTTTAGATGTAAATGAAACATTGTTAAGAAATATAATCGATAAAAGGATAAGTTTCATTAAAGACATAAAATCTAATGTTCTTCTACCTTTAGAAGAAGCAATTCAAAGTAATATAATAGATCTCAATACTGGAAAATTATTAGATACACAAAGCGGTCAGTGGCTGAGTTTAAATGAAGCTTGTAATAAAAGGTTAATTGTAACCGAGACAGTCGTATTTAACTTTCTGGAAACAATATTATTGAATTATTATTCTCCTAAAACCGGTTTAATTTTGAATCCTGCCACAGGTGACGAAGAAACAATTCAGGAAGCTATTGATAATAAGTTGATTGACCCAGAAAGTACTAAAATTAAAGATGATCAACAAAGAAAAATAATCGGAATAAAAGAGGCAATTGACACGAACTTGTTAGATACCGAAAAGGGAGTCCTGACTCATCCGTATCTTACATTAGACCAAGCTTATAACAAAGGCTACATTTTAAGTACGATTTTGCCATGGTCGCTTCAAGAAACATTAGCCCAAAAAGTATACGATCCCCTTACCGGTTTATTCGTTATTAACAATTACTCGCTAACTTTAGAAGAAGCCATAAATGAAAATTTCATAAATCAGAACGTTTTAACAATTAAAGACCCTTGTACAAATGACATTTTAACACTTAAAGATGCCATTAAAATAAATATTATTGATCCTAAGAAAGGTGTCGTGTATGAACCTGGAAGTAAACTTGAACTTAACTTATACGATGCTCAAGATCGAGGAATTATAGTTCCTTACAAAAATCAACTTAGTTTACCAGAAGCAGTTTGCAAAGGCTTCTATGACCCAAAAACAGGCAAATTTATTAATCCTAAAACAAAACAGAAATATAGAACAGATCCTGCTATTCGCAGAGGTTATCTGGATCCGTCATCTACGTTAGTGACAATCGATGAAAATGTTTACACATTCGATCAAGCTGTAGAAGGAGGTCTTATAGATACAAACGAAGGTCGAATAGTTCTCGACAAGCAGCGAACGTTTGACTTTAGTGAAGGTTTCGAAAAAGGACTTTTAGTAGAAGTTAAGCCTCCTGTTTCTTTAAGTGAAGCTTTGCTAAAACTGTATCATCCCGAAACACGACTCTTTTTAGATCCTCAAACAGGCTATTACGTAACTCTCATTGAAGCCATTGAACTAAACATAATTGATCCAGAAAATGTACACGTTAAGGAAACAAGATTAGGTGTGTGGAAAAAGTTGACTTTAATGGATGCGATTCATAATAATACTGTTAATGGTGAAACTGCTTTGGTTAAAGTGTTTTCAAAAGGTGAACCTTTTGAAATAACATTACAGGAAGCCTTAGACACAGGAATTCTAATAGACAACCGAGCTGCTATATCTCTTCAACGGGCTATTCATCAGGGTTTATATGATGAAAGAAGTGGTAAATTTATAGATCCCGAAAATCAACGAAAAATTACTCTTCATGAAGCGGTTAGAAAATTTATTGTTAATCCTCTTCTACCTTGTTACTTTGATAAAAGACAAAATAAAGTTTTAAATACGAGTGAAACGTGCAGACTTGGTATTATCGACAAACGTAACGGTACTTTTAAATTTCCTTTAACTGGACGGACCATAAATTTAAACGAAGCTTTGAACATTGGCGCGATTATTGATATTGAAAATACTAATTTTGATCTTTATCAAATTCTTGAGTTTGGATTTTATGATGAACATTCGAATATGCTAATACATCCGGCTACAGGAAAAAAACACAATATAAATAGTGCTTGTTCTCAAGAATTAATTAACCCCTTTATTTCTATTATAAAAAACACAGATAATAAATATATCTCTCTAAATGATGCGTTACAGATCAAATTAATTGACGGAGAGCAAAATATTTATAGATTACCAAATAATAAACCAATTTCTCTTAATGAAGCTAAAGAAAAAGGTTTAATAGTTACTTCTTCTAAACCAATAAGTATTAATGTAGCAATAAAAAATCTTTTCTATAGGCCTGATACCGGAAAATTTGTTAATCCATCGACAGGGCAGTTTTTAAATCTTAGGCAAGCAATAGAAAGTGGTTTTATTAGTCAAAAAACAACCCAGTATAAGGATACTACTAACGATGAAATTAAGTCACTTATTTCCGGTATCAATAATGGAAATATTGATGTTGAGAAAGGGAAAGTATTGGATACGAAATCTAAACTTACCTATTCCTACGACAAGGCTTTAGAAAGTGGGCTGCTTATTAATGTTGACGACTTAGATTTTGATGAAATAACTGAAAAAATGGTTAGCAGCTTAGACAAACCAAAAGAAATAAAACAGGCTGAAGAATATTCTGTTGAAGATGCAATTAAACTGCAATTGTTGGACCCACAAGTAGCAGTAATTAAAGATCCCCGTTCTAATAAATTCATAACTATTGAAGAAGCAATAAGCTCAGAATTGGTAAATATTAAGAAGTGTCTCACTTTTGAAATTCAAACAACGAAACTTAAATCTCTTATATTAATATATAATAGCGATACACCAATTTACTTAAAAGAACCTCTAAGCTTTGATAGTGCTTTAGAATTAGGTTACTTGGATGTAAAAACTAGTAAATTTACAGATCCACAATCCAACAATATTCTTACTCTTAAAGAATCAATCACTCTTGGTTATATAGATCCAGATTCGGCATTAATTAAAGATGGAGATAAAAAGAAACTAGTAAAACTTCCTGAAAGCTTTAGAAAAGGCTTAATTGATGCGGAGAAAGGAAATATTTTGGACTCATCTACATCAAAACTGTACACTTTATCAAATGCGATAGATAGTGGATTATTAATAACTCCTAGCCGAGGATTTACTCTCATTGAAACTATAGTTTTTGGACTATATAATCCCACAACGGGTTGCTTCGTTAATCCGTTTATATCGACAAATATCTTAAACAGAAAACGTTTAACATTACTTGAGGCGATAGAAATCAATTTAATTGATCCGTCACTTACTGTAATAAAAGACACTGAAACTGGTGATGTGGCGTCTTTATGTGTATCAATCGATAACAATTTAGTAGATGCAATTGGAGGAAAGTTGGACGATCGCGTTGAAAAAAAGCAAATCGATTTTGTTAAAGCTCTTGATAAAGGTTTAATTCTTCCAGCAGAGCAAAGGGTGAGTTACCTCATTTTTTCCTGTCACTATTGTATTTTATTCGTTTGGATAAGCAATTTTTGCTCTTGCGCTAATCAGTCTTCAATGCTTTACTCATTTGCATGAAATATTCAATTCATAATGTTGCTTACGTGAATGTTTATCTTAATTTCATATTTAATATTATTATGTTTTTTAATCTAGCTATTTGCTTTTTCTTTTATGTTGACCTATTTCTGCATTAGATTATATAACGGTAACCTCACATGTTACTTCTCTAAACTACAATATTTTCAATTGTTTAAACTAACTAGTGAAATTAATTTAATTTGTTCATCAATAATGTTAAACAATATTAATTTTTTCAGCTGGTATCCCAAGGAGCTTTACTTATATACATGTGTGAAGGTCGCACAGTCCATACTTTCATGTTGTCGAGCTCAACAGAAATTTTCTTAATTTACATTGCAGAATTGACTTACAAAGCTTTAATCCATACTTCATCTAATTGTAACATTCATTTTAACACTATGCTTAATTTAAACAAAACTACAATCATTATTAATGACTTCTTTAACTACTTAAAAATTAATGATGGTAGTTTTTGTTTTTACTGTTATTTTTATTGTAATTCATTCATTACACAACATTAGCAGCTTTTGATTCATTTTGCAAACTTAAACTTCTTATATAGTAATGTTATGTATTTTTTATGTTTTGTGCATTATGTTTTCTTTTTGTTTATTATTTCTGATTTTGATACACCATGATACATATATATCTATATATTTGTATATGTATATACATATTCAATTTACTACTATGTATTTTCACTGTTTCAGTGACGCTTTCTATATATATAAAAAAAGAATCTATAAAGCAACTTTAAGTGCTTGTGCCGTTTTGTCTTTTGCGATTTTATGCTTAATGTCTGTTTATTTACAGGTTTTTTCCTAATTTATTTACCATAAGCTTTTTCTTGTACTAATGAAAACATTTGTGTGAGCTTGAATGCATGTGTTTAGGTATAGGGATGTTTTGCTTTAGTAAATTTTTTTTCATTCTATAATTATTTTAAAATCAGTGCTTGTTTCGACAAAAACAGCAATTTGAATGTACAATGTGAAAACTAATATTGAGTTTTAAAATTATTACTGTTTCTACTAGATTACAATGAATTTTGCTGTTTTTATTTAAAATACCAGAAGGTAATTTTACTATTCTTAATTAATTTTTATATAGAAAAAAATATCTTTCCTTTTTAATTTTTAATTTGTTAATAAGCCATATTTTATACAGAAATAGGTAAGGTAGCAAAATAATATGCTTTTATTTATCGTGACTAAAAATGGTGACCATAACAGAGATTTCAAAATTGCAGCAAGCTGTTGAAGAGAAGTACAAACTTTGTGATGAAACTTTAGCGAAACTTCTCAAATGGATTGAAGAAATAGAAAACAGAATATCAGCCCAAGATGCTGCTCATGAAGTAGAAGAGGAACTCCGAAATCAAATTAATACTCTAAAACAAATTAAGGATGATCTAGATCAACATGCAAGTCATTTGTCACATTGCAGTGATCAAGTGCGACAATTAGTACTAACAGGCGGTGATGTTCTTTCTAAAGGAGAAATATCAACGTTAGAGAAAAGCAGTCGTAATTTAAAAACACGTTATGATAAAGCAGTTGATCGTACAGAGAAATTATTAAGACGTCTATTTTCTGCTAAAGATGAGCTTTCTAAATTAACAAGTGAATTAAATACCTTTTCGACGTGGTTAGATAGAGCCCGACGAGTTTTAGAAGATAAAGAGAGAGGTTTAAGCGATTTACACCGACTGGACTCCAGTGCTGATAGCATCAGAGAATTTGTATCAGATGTCATTGCTCACCAAGCTGACTTGAGATTTATAACAATGTCTGCACAAAAGTTCTTTGATGAATGCAAGGTAATTGAATATCTATTACAGAAATGTTAGTACAAATATAATCTTTTGTAGGAATATTTACACATTCTTAACGATTTTCGTACTTCACTTCCTTCTCGTTTATCTCACATTGAACCACATTCATCTCAAGATTCCCCTGTCCGTAGTCAAGTATCACTAGTGACTCAAAGATATCGTGATCTGTTACATAGAGCTAACAACTTGCAAGACCGTTTGTCTGGTGTTGGTAATCGTAGAAGAGAATATAACGATGCTTTAGATAAGGCGATAGAATGGATGAAAGATGCTGAACCAAGAGCCTTGAGAATCTTAAACGAGCCTATAGCAGAAGACCCAAAATCTGTTGAAGATCAGCTGAATAGAGCTAAAGTGCTTAATAATGAATTTGTAGCCAATAGTAAACTCATAGATACTGCTAAGCAGGTACGTAACGTATTCTGGTAAATAGATCTAACATTTATTTAATTTTAATCAATATTTATAGGCAACCGATTCTCTATTACATTCCATGGAAGGGCAAATATCTCCTTCTGAAATTTCAGCTATAGAGCAACCTGTCATAGAACTGGACAATAAATATAAAAAATTAAGTGGAGCTCTAACTGAAAGATGCCAAGAGTTAGATACAGCTTTGGTGCAATCTCAAGGAGTACAAGATGCATTGGACTCAATAGTTTCGTGGCTTAATTCTGCTGAGAGTCAATTTAAAAACATGGTAAAACCTGCAAGTTTAATTAAAGAACGTTTGGATGAACAACTTCGAGAACACCGCGTTTTCCAATCAGATATAGACACACATATTTCTTCAATTGATTCTGTATATTTATCAGCAAATGAGCTGATTGCATCCACCAGCAATGCTAGAGTTGCTAAAAAAATTGAAACCAAATTGAACGATGTGAAATCACGTTTTGAAAAATTATTTGACCGTGTACAAAAACGTGGAGTCTTTTTAGAAGACATCAATGGCAATTTGACTGTCTTTAATAATCAAGCAACTAAATTTGAACAATGGTATGCAAGTGTATTAGAAATAATTGACTCTCAGGATCTTCTTAAAGTTTCGCCTGAAGAACATGCACGACATATGAAGGAAATAGCTGTTAATTTACACAAAAATCAAAATATGTACGAAGACACAATAAAAATTGGAAAAGATTTAATTAATCAACGAGATGTTACTGACACTCCTCCAGTTCGTGATCGAATTAAAGCTATGGAAACTCAATGGCGAGAACTTAATACACTTCTTGATGAAAAACATAAATTAAATAAACGAAAGGTTGAACACCTTAATGCATATGAATCGCTTAGAGAACAGGTTACGGTGTGGTTGGCAAAAATGGAACAGAAAGTTGCTCGTTTAGATACTGTAGCCGTTGAAATGGAAGCATTAAAGCGCCAAAGTGAAGAATTAAAACCCATTTCTAAGGAATATAGAGATTTTGCCACAACGATTGATACAATTAATGATGTTGGATCTTCGTATGATTCACTTATTCGAGGAGAAATTCAAGAATCTCCTAAAAGAAAATCTCAAGTTTATAGTCCAACTAAAAGAACATCTGTTACTCCTACGTCAAGTATGTGTATTTCTGTATTTGTATTTCATACACTGCCGTTTTTCGTAAACGCGTCTTGTTTTTTTATGAATTATAATTAATTTTTTAGTGCGACGTGGTTCCCATGATGGCCGTTCTCCATCGCCCAGCAAGGGTCTTTCCATTCAGTCTCCTTTATCTCCGGGTGGCTCCAGTGGTTTTTCTTCAAGAAGGTCTAGTCAAGATGGTTTCCATTTAGAAGAGCTTACTCCTATTCAACATCAACTCTCTGAAATTAATAATAGATACAATCTATTAGGCATTAAAATTAATGATCGTCAGTCAGAAATAGAATCAACTAAGGAAGAATTAAAAAAGCAGCTCGATAATCTGAGAACATTAAATGCATTCTTAGATAGAATTCAAAGACAATTACCAAAATCTTCTGTTCCTAGCAGCAAGGATGAAGCTGACAAGACCGTTAAACAAATTAGACAAGTAATTGAAGAAATATACGAAAAACAATCGCTTCTTGATTCTACAAAAATACAGATTAAAGATATGTTAAAAAGAAAGCCAAATGCATACGGTTCCGATTTATTAAATGGGGAACTTCAACAAGTTGTAACAAAATGGAAAACTCTAAACGATGGTTGCAAGGATAGGTATACTGATAGATGCAAGTTTTTTTGTGATTAATAATAATTTGTTTTTATTTAGAATTAAGTTCCTAGAAGACATGAAAGAATTCCACGACACTTACGAATCTATGTCATCTTGGTTATCTTCAAAGGAACGAATGTTGACTGTTCTTGGACCAATCTCTAGCGATTCACGTATGGTTCAATCACAAGTACAACAAGTTCAAGTTTTAAGAGAGGAATTCAGATCTCAACAACCACAAATGCAACACCTTTTGAACGTTGGTGAAGCTGTATTGACGTACTTGACTTTAAATTCCCCTGAGGGTCAGAAAATCGATAAGAAATTAGAAAATATCCAACAGAGATGGGCTGCCTTATTAGGTATGTCTTGAAAGATTAAGGTATTTGAAATGTTTCTATAAGTATTTGTATTATTTAGGTAAACTAGAAGACCGTGCTAACTCACTTGGAGCAGCTGCAGATACAAGCCGTGAATTTGATGCTCAGTATACCCGTTTGCATGATGCTTTACAAGCTATTTCTGATAGTTTGAATGATTTACCAACCGATAAAGAACCTGAAGAACAGTTGCGAAAGGTCGAAAATCTTGAAAGACAATTGGATGGTCAAAGACATCTTTTAACAGATTTAGAAGCAGCAGGTGCTCAATTATCTGAAGTCCTCAGTGATCCTGCATCAAAAGCCGATATTCAATCAAAACTTGGCACCATAGATAAACAATATAAAAACTTACAAAAAAAATTGGGAAATAAGAAAGCTGAAATTGAAGGTTAGATTTAAGTTATATATAAAATTGTATTGATGTTTTCAAATGAATTTACAATTTACATTTTAAACTGACTTCTACATTTTATAAATTTATAAAATCCTTCAATTTTAGGTTCTTTAAGAGACGGGCGTCAGTTCCAAGAATCTTGTGCTAAAACACTTGGTTGGTTGTCAGACGAACTTAGCTTATTATCGGAACGTTTACTTGTATCAGCTAATAAAGATATTTTGGAACAGCAACTATTCCATCACGAACCAATTTATCGCGACGTTTTAGGTAGAGAACATGAAATTATTATGTTATTGAATAAAGGAAAAGATGTGCTTTCTCGAAATCCAAATGTTGACAATCGATCATTACAAAGAGAGCTTGACAAAATACAACAAAACTGGGAAAAATTACGCAGAGAAACAGTTGATAGACATACAAGACTGCAAACTTGTATGGTAAGTAAAAGTTATTGTATCTTGACAATCCCACATAGCGTAGAGACGGAAAACTACTCTACTGGAAGGGGTAAAATTTAATGAATATCCAAGTACAGGCCGTGTATCGTTATCTAGGGGGTATTTGCTGCTATTGAAGTTTTCCATGTATTTAGACAATAAACCTTAATAAAATTTAATGAGACAAAACGCAAATACCTCAGTTGATAGTTTCTCGTTCTCATTATAATTGTGTGTCATTTACTTACATTTATTGCACTTCCAAAAACTCGGAAACACTCTAGAATCAACGTAGTCCCTCCAATTAAACCAACAATAAAAAGAAACTCATGTAAATTACCACCCCAAATTGATTATTGCGGACACCAGTTTAAAAAGTGGGCAAAACACGTGTCCGCAGTAATCAATTTGTGGTGGTAATTTAGGTGACTTTAGTTTAATGAGTCATTTACCACAGTCTCCAATTTCTACGTTTTTATACCCTCCACTTAAATTAAGTCTCCTGTCTAGTCTTCTTAAATCAGCTTAAGCCTCTTTTACTTAAAATGATACTCTAAACGTCAAGGTTAGAATTTTCCTGTCAGAATGAATATAAAAACAAACATTTAAACATGTCTATTTTTTTGCAATTGTTTAGTGCCACCTCGAATAAGCTAAAACCAACGATTTTTAAATAAAAATGCCGATTTCACAATAACTTCGTGGATATCGAAATTAGGTCTTTTAATGATACGTTTTAATGATCAGTGACAGTTTTTTGCCGTTTTCGTTTGTTAATATCTTTTAAATTGCTTAATATTGTAGGACCAAATTTAAAAAACCGAGTCCTCTATAAGCTAAATCGAACTGACTTACTGGAATTTATTCTTTTGCCTTTTTTTGCAATTTTTATCCAAAAAGTAGTGTTGTTAATGTTTCTCGTTTTAGGAACATTGTCGAAAATACTATAAAGCTTTAGAAGCCCTTTTGCCATGGCTTCGACAAGCCGAAGATAAATTAGATTCATTAAAACCATCGTCGTTTAAGCGAAAACATATTGAAAAGCAACTTAAAGAATTACAGGCTTTCCGAAATGATGTTTGGAAAAAATCCGGAGAATATGAAAATACTCGTTCACTAGGTGAAACTTTCTTAACCTCATGTGATACTGATAAAGATGTAGTAAAGAATGAATTGTCATCTTTGAAACAACGTTGGGATAGACTTAACAATGATTTAATTAACCGAACGCAAGCCCTTGAAGATCAAGCAAGAAAGTTGGTTGATTTCAATGAAAACATTCGTGATCTGCAGCATAACGTCGAAAGGTGTGAAGATAAACTAGGATCACATGATGCCCTTGGTGGTGCAGCACGTGATCCAAAATTACTTGATAGAATAAAAGTTCTAAGGGACGACATTGGAAAATTAAATAAACCTTTGCAAGTAAGTAATCGTTACTAATGTTTGTTACAAATGCTAGGAAAATTATTTACTTAAAATGAAAGGACATAGGTACAATACATAGTAAACAAATGTAAAATCATTGATATTCATTTATTAATTTATTATGAAAAGTATTCTTACTTTTTTTGTACTTACATATACATACTGGGTGCCTTATGGTGACAACAAAGTTAATAGTTAACTACCACTAATAATAGCACGTGGTGACAAAGCTATTGTTTTTTGTTTGTTTTCAAGTTTGCTAGCAATTCCATAGCTATCTTTGCTAGAAATTCGATCATTTTAGTTACTTATAATAAAAAACTTAAATAACAGAAAAACTAAATGAGATGGGTACAGAGTAGTGTAGTATGGATAGATAGAGTGAAAAATTCTACAGCTGAATCTGAAAAATATACATTAAAAAAAAGTTTTTATGGTTCGAAATTACACAAATTCAGTATTAAATTTTCATTACTCTGTATAATATTAAACAACTTTTAACGTGACTTTAATAGATGATGGGCATCCCCTTATTTTCCTTCCAAATATCAGTACTTCAGGTGGCATAATATAAGAAATATGCAATTTTTATTTAGTCATTAAAAAAACTTTTTTTTTTTGATAAAGGTAAAATATCTCTAACATTAGTAGACCTAGACATGGGAAGCTTTATAAAAGTCCTAAAATAACGCGTAGGTTCTGAAAATTAAAGAATATACAGGGTTTTCAATTTAAAATAAAAAAGTTGATGGCATCTTCCAGTATAACCGGAAGTGCTACAAGAATGGCATTATTTTATTTAAAGAAAGCATCCCCAAAAATTTACACCCCAAAATTTTATAACAATTCTAATGGGCTATCATCGTAAGATACCCTGTATATGGTACAATTTTTAAAATCATGTTCAATTAAATATTAATAAATAATAAATCGTTCCATCGCAGGTAAAAAAATTTATAGTTTGTAAATTGATATGAAAGAATGTTTTTTTTTAAGGCCTGCAGCACACAAGCAAAAGATTTAATACATGAAGCTGCTGCAAACGGAATCGATGCAAATCACCTTCAAGACGATGTAGATAATTTACACGATCGTATTAAAGAATTACAAGCTAAAGTTGACGATCGATGCTTAGATCTTCAATCAGCAGCTACTGCTGTCACTCAGTTCAATGATCAAGTAAAAGATTTAACAGTAAATCTTTCTGCCATCGAAGCTGAATTGGATGGAATGAAGCCCCCTGGTCGTGACTTTAAAACAGTAAGGGTACAAATTGATAATGTTGGACAAGTTCTAAAAAAAATTGACAAAGCTGCCACAAAAGTTGACAATGCAGTTAATGCAGGCGAACGACTTGTTGATAGTGGATTTGCTCCTGACACTGCTCAAACAAGACAGCAAGTAGACGGACTGAGAAAGCAATTGGGTAAATTAGATGAAAGAGCACGTAACCGTGAACAGGAACTTGACAATACTTTAAAGAAATTAGAGAACTTCTATCTTGCTCAAGCAAGTGTTTGTGATGACATTCAAGATGCTTCTGAAGAGCTTAAGAAAATGAAACCCGTAGGCTCTGAAGTTGATACTATTCGTGTTCAACAACAAGATTTTAAAAAGTTTAGAGCAAAGAAAATAGAACCTGTAGCTAAGAAACTTGATAACTGCAATAAAGTAGGACAAGGTCTTGTTCAGTCTGCTGCTCCGGGGGTAGATACTGCCACCCTTGAAAAAGATTTAGAGAAGATGAACGATAGATGGAATGATCTCAAAGAAAAGGTAGTATATAAGGTTTAAGTTGTAATTTATATTTGCATATTTGGTATTGAATTTTTTAAGATTAACGACCGAGAAAGAAGACTTGATGTTGGTTTACTACAATCAGGTAAATTTCAAGAAGCACTTGATGGTTTGGAGAAATGGTTGACGGATACAGAAGAATTAGTTGCAAATCAGAAACCTCCGTCTGCTGATTACAAAGTAGTAAAAGCACAACTCCAAGAACAGAAGGTACTACGCTATACTATACATTGATGTTATTTCACCATTTCATTTACGTTTTATATTGTTGTAGTTTTTAAAGAAAATGCTTTTGGACCGCCAAAATTCTATGTCATCTTTATTTAATATGGGTAATGAAATTGCTAAAGAAGCTGATCCGAAAGAACGTAAAGCAATTGAAAAGCAATTAAAAGATCTTATGGGACGATTTGATGCTCTAACTCAGGGAGCTCAACAACGAACTCTTGATTTAGAAAGAGCAATGCATGTTGCGAAACAATTCCAAGATAAATTATTGCCACTTCAAGAATGGTTGGATCGCAGTGAACGCAAAGTTAAAGATATGGAAATGATTCCCACAGATGAAGAAAAAATACAAAGTAGAATTAGAGAGCATGATGTTAGTACAATTTTTATTTTGTTATTGCAAATTCTTAATTACCGTCTTTTAGGCTTTACACAACGAAATTCTTAATAAAAAACAAGATTTTACTGAGCTTACTGACATTGCTTCCAATTTAATGTCTCTGGTTGGAGATGATGAAGCTTCTACCTTAGCAGATAAATTACAGGAAGTTACTGATCGATATGGAACTCTGGTTGAAGCAAGTGAAAATGTTGGTCAACTTTTAACTGCTTCACGTCAAGGGTTACGACACTTAGTTCTTACTTATCAAGATCTAGCAGTTTGGATGGATGAAATGGAACATCGACTTGGCAAATACAAAGTATTAGCGGTGCACACTGATCGACTTTTGGAACAGATGGACGATTTAGCTGTAAATTATTTATATTTGGTATATTTCATTTCCTTTACTACTGTTTTTATAGAATCTAACAGAAGACATTTCTCAACGCCAACAAGACGTTGACAGTACTGTTGATGCGGGAGTTGAATTAATGCGGCATATTTCTTCAGACGAAGCATTGCAGCTTAAAGACAAGCTCGATTCATTACAACGTCGCTATAATGAACTCACATCTCGTGGCTCAGATCTTCTAAAACATGCTCAAGATCTCCTTCCTTTGGTGCAACAGTTTCATGATCATCATAATAAATTGGTTGAATGGATGCAAGGAGCTGAAGCAATATTGCAGTCGGCTGAACCTCACGAAAACGACATTGCACGATTAGAATTGGATCTGCAAGAACTTCGTCAAGTCCTAGAAGCTATTAATCTTTTAGGTCCGCAACTATGTCAAGCTAGTCCTGGAGAGGGTGCAACTACAATAGAAAGTCTTGTAACTAGAGACAATAGACGATTCGATGCAATTGCTGAACAAATTCAAAGACGCGCTGAACGAATTCATTTAGGAAAACAACGAGCACTAGAAGTAACTGGAGATATAGACGAACTTTTGGATTGGTTTAGAGAAGTAGAAAGTCAAATTAGGGATGCAGAAAAACCTTCCGCCGAGCCTGATCTGATACGTGTACAACTAAAAGAACACAAAGCTCTCAATGATGATATATCCAGTCAGAAGGGCAGGGTACGAGATGTACTAGCTACCGCTAGGAAAGTTCTTAGAGAAAGTCCTCCAAATGAAGATACTACATTTATTAGAGAAAAAATGGAAGATCTGCGTGAAGCTATGGATACTGTATCTGCTTTAAGTTCAGATAGGCTAGGCATATTGGAACAGGCTCTTCCACTAGCAGAACATTTCCAAGATACGCACGCTGGACTTTCCAATTGGTTATGTGATATGGAAGAACAAGTGTCCATGCTTTCAATGCCAGCCCTTCGCCCTAATCTTATTGCACAGCAGCAAGATCGCAACGAAATGTTCTTAAATTCAATAAATGAACATAAACCTCTTGTTGACAAGCTCAATAAAACTGGTGAAGCTCTTATAAAAATTTGCAATGATGATGATGGTGCTAAAGTACAAGAAATGTTAGACAGCTGCAATGAACGTTACTCAGCTTTGAAAATTGAATTACGGGAACGTCAGCAGGCTTTGGAACAAGCTTTACAAGAAAGTTCACAATTTACTGATAAACTTGAAGGCATGCTTCGCGCATTAACAAACACCGCAGAACAAGTGCAAAATCAGGAGCCCATCTCAGCTCATCCACCGAAAATTCGCGATCAAATTGATGATAATAATGCTTTGGTTGGAGACCTTAGTAAAAGAAAGGAAGCCTATGCAGCAGTAAAACGAGCTGCAAACGATGTTATCAACAAAGCTGGAAATCTTTCAGATCCTGCCGTTAAAGATGTTAAACGAAAGCTTGAAAAATTAAAGAGCCTTTGGGATGATGTTCAAAAAGCAACAACAGACCGTGGTAGATCTTTAGATGACGCACTGGATGCAGCTCAGAAGTTCTGGAAAGAACTTCATGCAGTTATGGCAACTCTAAAAGATCTTGAAGACTCATTGAACAGTCAAGAGCCAGCAGCCGTTGAACCTAAAGCAATACAACAACAACAAGTTGCTTTGCAAGAAATTCGAAATGAAATAGATCAAACCAAACCAGAAGTTGATCAAGTCAGAACTTCCGGAAAGCAGCTAATGAAATTATGTGGTGAACCAGATAAACCAGAAGTTAAAAAACACATTGAGGATTTGGATAATGCTTGGGATAACATTACTGCTTTGTATGCTAAAAGAGAAGAAAACCTCATTGATGCTATGGAGAAAGCAATGGAATTCCATGAAACATTACAAGTATGTATTAAAAAAAATGTGTGGTATAGTAACTCTTTCAAATGTTTTCTTTAATACATTTTTTTTATAATGCAATGTATTAATATGCACTCAATTCTAGAACCTACTGGAATTCTTAAATGAAGCTGAAAATAAATTCAAGAAGATGGGTTCACTTGGTACAGATATTGATGCAGTCAAGAGACAAATTGAACAATTAAAGAAATTCAAAGCTGAAGTAGATCCACATATGGTGAAAGTAGAAGCGCTAAACAGGTAATACGTTTTGCAATGTTCAGTTTGTCATATTTTAATATAAGTATAATTATACTTTTGTCTCCCCTTTTCAAAGACATCTAGTATTTACAATTATTTAGTATCATTTACTCGGAATTTAACATATTTATTTAATACAATAATATAAATATTTTTTCCATTGTCACTAATTTATTATTTCCTCTTTTTCTTCCTGAACTTCACATCATGGGCATCAGGAGTCTAACAAGGCAAGAATATAGCAATTAAACAATTGCATGTTGTAATTTGAAATGTGGTTAAACTGCTTTCAGTGTGCCTTGATATGTCAACGATTGATTAAAGCAAACAAATTTGATGCTTTTATATAATCTAGTGCCCTAGACATTAACATTTAATATTTATTTAAACTAATTGTTTTAATGCCATAAAGAAAAGCATCAATTGATAGGAATATTTCATGTTGGAGTGTGATTAGTTTTTATTTCTACTTTAATTACATATAGACTTAGTATCAAATTTTAATAGTCGCAGCATCCATGAATTGATCTGGCTTAAGTATAACAATTTAGAAAAGATTCTGCTATAATAGGAAGAGCTTTGTGTAGTCTAACAAAAGCATTTTGTCTGATCATATCATATTAAAGTTATTATTTAATGATGATATTAAATTGTATTGTATTAAATATTTATAGGTTTTATAGTTAAAAAGTAATTACTTCCAAGTGATGCGGTTTGTACATTAGGTGATAATTATTATAGTGTGAGAAAAATTAATGTAAGTAGTTGGTACGTCCGCGCGAATAAATCGTACGGTAATTCTTTTCTTCAACAGATTAACAACACATAATTTATTTCTTTATCACTGAAGTTGCACTTTTGATATCAATTTGCTATTTACCCTATAATTTCGTTGACCACCCTGGTTTATATCTGCTTATTACAAGTATTATAATTATTTGGTATTTTGAGGACCTTAATACTGTCAAAATTGAAAATATGGCTGAGTCTCAACACTATGTTAAGCAGGTTTTATAATACTTATTGTTGATTTGATCTTCTCTAAATTGTTGTGGTTTTATTTATTTTATATATACCCATCTTATTATATTTAATGCTTTTATTCTGCAATGTATTCTTACACCTAAAAATATAAACCGCACCATTTGAGAATAATTATTTTTTAACTATAAAACAAAGTAAATATTAAATACTACAATACAATGTAATTACATTATCAATAAGAAACTTTAGTCTTGAAACGAAACGTCTGTGTTGATTTTATATCAATAAAAATTTACAACCCTTGACTTGAATCCTTCCAATAAATTTTTCTTTTTTAGTTTACTAATGAAGTTTCTGAACAAAAAAGTCCATCAAAAAACAACTGCAAAAAGTTTTTAAACTGAACTTCTTTTTACAGGCAAGCACAAGAATTAACAGAAAGAACATCAGCAGATAAAGCCGCGGTAATTAAAGAGCCACTCACGACTGTTAACAAACGCTGGGATGACTTGTTAAGAGGTATTGTTGAACGTCAACGTTTATTAGAGAATGCTTTACTGCGTCTTGGTCAATTCCAACACGCACTTAATGAACTGTTAGTTTGGATTAGTAAAACAGATAAAACTCTTGATGAACTTAAACCAGTTGCGGGAGATCCTCAAATTCTAGAAATTGAATTAGCAAAATTAAAAGTGTTAGTAAATGACGTGCAGGCTCATCAAACGAGTGTAGATACTCTTAATGACGCTGGAAGACAAATTATTGAAAGTGGCAAAGGAACAGATGAGGCTTCTGTTACACAAAGTAAACTTAATACATTGAATTCTGCTTGGCGATCGTTGCTTCAAAAAGCAGCAGATAGGCAACGTGAACTTGAAGATGCCCTCAATGAAGCACAGCACTTCAACTCGGAAATTCAAGATCTTCTATGTTGGTTAGGCGATGTTGATGGTATTATAACTGCCAGTAAGCCAGTGGGTGGTCTTCCTGAAACGGCTAGTGAACAATTGGAGCGATTTATGGAAATTTACAATGAAATTGAAGAAAATAGGCCCAAAGTTGAAGCAGTATTAGCTAGAGGTCAAGAATACCTAAAGAAAGGTAAATAGATGCTTATTTAAAATAATTATATTAACTTTTTCGCGTTTTTTATTGACCTCTTCATTAGCAGATTAAAAAATATATAAAAGATTTAGAACCATTACTTTTTAAAAATCAAAATTTCACATAAATTATTCGTTTTCACTTTAAAAGAAGGAATGCACTCTCAAATGCTATATTTTGTAATTTTTAATTATTTTCTATTCTTCATTTAGGTTCAAATGCTGCTTCTAACTTGCAACACAATCTTCGCACATTAAAACAACGTTGGGATTCTGTAACCTCGCGAGCTAACGACAAAAAGATAAAACTTGAAATTGCTCTCAAGGAAGCAACTGAATTTCACGATGCCCTTCAAGCATTTGTTGATTGGCTCACAAATTCTGAAAAAGTTTTGTCTAATCTGAAACCAGTGTCACGTGTCTTAGATACAGTACAACATCAAATCGAAGATCATAAAATTTTTCAAAAGGATGTCAGTGCACATAGAGAAACAATGTTAAACTTAGATAAGAAAGGAACACACTTAAAATACTTCAGTCAAAAACAAGATGTTATTCTAATCAAAAATTTACTTATTAGTGTTCAACACAGATGGGAAAAGGTTGCATCTAAATCTGCAGAACGTACTCGAGCTCTTGATTTAGGTTATAAAGAAGCCAAAGAATTTCACGACTCGTGGTTAGGCCTAATGAACTGGCTAGAAGAAACCGAATCATCTTTAGATGAAATTATTGAAGATGTCACCAATAATCCCGAAAGGATTAAGGTATATTTGAGTAAGCATCAGGAATTCCAAAGGGCTCTTTCCAATAAGCAAGCTACTTACGATAACACTATGAAAATCGGAAAGTCTCTTAAAGATAAAGCACCAAAGAATGATGAACCCATTCTAAAACAAATGTTGTCAGATTTAAAAGCAAAATGGAATTCAGTATGCAATAAAAGTGTGGACCGACAAAGAAAACTTGAGGAAGCGTTACTTTATTCTGGACAATTTAAAGATGCCATTGACGCTCTTCTTCAATGGCTTAAAAAAGTAATCTAATAAAGTATAATTGAGTTTTAATTGTTCATATAATTATCTACATTTTTAGGTGAAAGGAGAACTTTCTGAAGATACTCCTGTTCATGGGGATCTAGATACGGTTAACCATCTAATTGATCAACACCGCCAACTCGAAAAAGAGCTAGAGAACCGTAATAAGCAAATTGAATCTGTTGTTCGTAGTGGCCAAGAATTGGTATCCAAGGCAAACAGATCCGATGAAGCTGTTATAAAATCTCAATTAAATGAATTAAATACGTTGTGGGAATCTGTGTCAAATCTCACACGTCATAAGTCAAGACGTCTTCAAGAAGCGCTTCATGAAGCTGAACGATTGCACAAGAATGTTCATATGCTCCTAGATTGGCTCTCTGATGCTGAAATGAAATTGCGATTTGCTGGTATGCACTTAATGAGATATAGGATATAATTTAAAGACATTTAGCTTCACTTTTTATTTTTCATAGAACTTTCTTAAAATAAATGTGTTGAAAAATCTATTTTGGCTAAAAGCATCATTTAATTTTTTTTTTTAAGATTTGTGTTTATTATTGATTACAAAATATGTTTTATTAGTTTATTTCAAATGAATATAACAAAACGATCTGAAGAACATGAATGTTTTTTACAGGTAATGTTCCTGACGAAGAAAATGCAGCTTATGCTCAGTTAGATGTCTTAGAAAAAATAAGACATGAACTTCATGAAAAAGAACAAGAAAAGGATTATACATTAGAACAAGCTCATAGTGTGCTTGCAAAAGCTCATCCTGATGCTGTGAACGTGATAAAACATTGGATAACCATTATACAGACCAGATGGGATGAAGTTTCACAATGGGTAGCACAAAGATATCAAAAACTGTCAACTCACATGCAGTCACTTCGTGACCTCGATGAATCGTTAGAAGAATTATTAGCTTGGTTGCAAGGGCTTGAAAACACGTTGTTGGCTTTAAAACGTGAGGAACTTCCAATGAGCATCCCTGCTACAGAACAACTGATTGCAGATCACAAAGAATTCATGGAAAATACGCAAAGAAGACAACCTGAAGTTGATAGAATTTGCAAAGCCAAACAAATTAAAGCAGGCCATGGCAAAGATATAAGAAAATTATCAAAAATTAAGCCAACGTAAGTATTTAAGAATTCAGTAATGTTGATTCTTATGTGTAGATAATGCCTAATTTTTGAAATCGTGTCGTAACATCAAAAGTATTTATAAAAGCATGAAAATACATTTTCTCATAAAACTTCTATTTGACAAACAACTAATGTAACTGATTATGGTTATTTATTGCATAATGCAACCTATTCTATTACATCAAAAGGTAATTGTTTACTTTAAAAACTACACCTCTTGAAATTTTAGTATGTTGTGCAGTTTACCGTGCCGATTAAGAATGTATGTACATATACAAAAATTTATATGTTGTGGTCGAAATCCATTGCTTTCTCTAGTTTTGGAGGTTTAAAAAAATAACAATAAATAAAACAACTAAACCGAACCCACAGCTAAACGAATCAGTTAAAAATAAAATTTTATTTTTTTTTCTCTCTTTTGGAGTAGTTCACGTTTCTATTGTTTTTTTCAACCATAACCTAGATTAACCTAACATTACCCAAGCCACCAAACGATGCTTTTATTATGATCGCACAGGAAAAAAGAGTCAGTTTATCGTTGCCAAAAAAAATTAAATCTTATTTTTAATTATTTCGTTTAACTATGGGTTCGGTTTGCCTCTTACATTTTTCAACTGCCCAAAACTAGGGGAAGGAATGGTTTACCCTCCCAATATAAATATCAATATATTAATCAGTACATTGAACAACATAACTAAAATTTGTTAATCAAAATGTATACTCCCATTCTTTCACACGTCACCTTGTCTTTATCATAATTTCAACTTTTTAATTCTCATTTTTGCACTTTCTGCATGTTTTTCACATTTTCTTTTCCTTTCACTGCAGTCGTGGATCACAACATGACATTCGTGAATCCTCACCTGATATTTACAGTTCACTTGGTCGTAAACAAAGGTATGTTTTTCAGTTTAACACCTCAATCCTAATTATTTATTTTGTTGTCAGTGCTTTTACTTTTCACGCTGATTAGAATCAGACGCCGTTTGTGCAATAATTAAGAAATAACTATGGTAAAAATAAATGAATAAGAGAAAGAAGCGTATTATATTAATTTTTTAACATCTAATACTTGCTCAATGAAACCAATAAAACACCGTGAAGCGTGAAATAATGTTTTCAGAACGCGTAGCATTACAGGCAAGACCCAATAAATTTTTGTTCTTAGCAAAAAAGTAATAAAGTTGGTAAAAATATGCGTATTATACGATTTTTANTGTAATACGGGAATTATTTTTATTGAAATTTTATTTCTCTGTTTATTAATTGGAAAGTTTCAAAAAAATGTATCTTGTGTTTATAGTAAAATTAAAATTTTCACATTTCACATATAAATTAATTTTCAGCTTATTCCTACTTCACCTAATAACGTCCATATATTCAGTATTCTATTAAAAAAGATTCTTTAAGAAGTACTGTTTTCAAAAAGTAATAAAAAATTAAAAACTTGACTAGATAGTGTCAAAGTTATTATAACTAAGTGTTTAGTATAAAACGTCTTACCTGTAGTTGATCTGTGAAATTAGAATTCTAGATTTTTTTAGTCTGAGGATGACGTCTTGGGTGTCGAAACGCGTTTTAGGTTTCTAAGCGTTTTGTGGAATTTTTGGGCTTTAAGTGTTTATTTAGACATTTCTGATTAAAAAAAGCATGAAAAATCGAGACCACTGCTGCATAAAAACTGACTTAAGTTCATAAAAAACGTTTTTTCATGGAAATGAAACATAATGAAATTTTCCAAAAATACTTCAATTTTTTATGTAAAACTTATGATTTGGACAAAAACGTACTTTGAAATTTATTAGAAAGAATTAGGTGGCAGTTACGGGTTAAATGATTGAAAGCCTTTGTAAAATTTTAATTCTTACAATGATATCTCACAATTTCAGTCTTCAGGAATAAAACTCAAAGGAAAGTTTGTTTGGAGTGATTTTACCCAGATTTTATATTATTATCCTCCATCACTTCACCTTTAATCCTTCCTTTCTATGTATCTAATAAATCACTGCAATCCATACTAAAATAAAAAAGCATCGCATTCTGTAAGTGTTCGGCTTAACCTTAACACGCTTTGCAGGTTTATGACTGAACTTAATTGTGAAACAATGCGGGGAGAGGCAAATTTAGAGTTTGCCCTGGTAACAGAAATCCACGCTTCGCCACTATATCATAGCTTTTTGGAAAACATAACTTTGTTTTTGAAAATAGCAAACTGTCTAATTACAAAAACCTTACATGAAAAAGTGATGGAAGGAGAAAACTTTCTTTTTTGGTAACACATCTGGGGTGTGTTTTGATATATAACCCAGCATACTGGCTAGTGCTGATGACCTCAAATTGAGAATAGTGTTTGTGCTCGTTTACAACAATTTTGCTCCAAAAGTTATTAAAGTTTGATGCACATACGCTCGTTTGATATACTACTACGTCACACTTGTCTCACCAGTACAATATGGCGTCGATTTATAACGTCATCAGCACTAGCTAGTATACTGGGTTATATTTCGAAACACACCCCTAGTTCCATATTCTCCTAAATAAAAAGTACATAACCACGATAATATACTTAGTGTTGTCTCTCCTACCTTATGACCCAAAATCGGAGGAAGCTGTTTTAAATTAAAGTTTTGCTAAAAAATAGATATTTTTCGATTGTAGTTAACATTTGACAGTTGTACTAAAATTTTGACATCACGCGTCAAATGAGTAAAAATCATTTTATTAAAAATAATTTGATTACTTAGGATCATAAGATTTTAGAAAGAAAATGCAATAACGAAGAGATGAATGTTTTTCCTTTTATTTGCAAGAATATGCACGTAGGTGTGATTTACCGAAATAGAAAATTCTCTGTTTAAAAAACTTCCCCCTTCCCCCCAAAATTTTTAAGTAAATTTTTAATAATTGGTCCATTTTAAAACATTTTCAAGGTAAAAATGTTGATTTTTTTGAGAAAGTCGTGATGCTGAAGTTTTGCATGTTTTTTAACAAAAAAATCAATTGTTCATTGTTTTGATGCACCCGTTTTTGTTTTATTAACACCAATTACTATTTATACAGCTTCAAAGGATCAGCAAGTTTTCTTTCATCCCGCAAAGGAAGGTTAGAAAATTATATATTTCTATGTAAAGTAGTATTTAAAATCTTTAATTTTGTTTGCAGCACTTTTTGTTTGATTGTAATATTTTATTCTTCATTCACTTAAGCAAACATTTTGTTAAATGCTCATAAGTTAGAACGATGAAAAACCTAAAAGGATAATTTTTTATGTTCATTTTAGTTGAAGAATTACAATAAAATGTCTAGTCATAAATGTAATATGACTGTGAAAATATAAAGTGTTTTTTGTCTTACACTTTTTCGTGAGTGAAGCAGGTGCTGCAACACAATAGTAATATTTTCTGTTCATTATTTAAGTAAATCTTTACTTATATTCAGTTGCTTTAATATTGAATTTGACTTTTTGTGCATGTTTTTAGACATCAATTGCATCTAATTAATATGCAAACATCTAACAAAAGTATATCATAATAATACAATCAAAACACAAATAGCCATCTATTCCCATTTTTAACTAATTATAATACAATTTGATATATTTTTTTGTAATATTACAGTAACTAATAGATAATAGAATATTTACTCAATTTAGATTACAGGCATTTATTAGTTGTTGTTGAGTATAAAAGCATCCGTTTCTTTTTTTTTTCTTTTGTAATTTGTGTGCTGCATGTTTATTTTTCCAACAGCCGTACTAGTCCAGGCCGAGAACTTAGCCCAGATCCCAACTTACCTCATGTTGGACCGCGATTCCCAGCTGCAGGAAGGTATAAAATTAATTATGTTCCTTCATTTATTGTAATACGGGAATTATTTTTATTGAAATNGAAAGTTTGTTGTGCTTAGTTTTACTTAATTTTTATTTTGATGGCAACTTGCTTATTTTGATTTTGTTTGTTTGCTCTTTCCTGGCACACCTTCAACTATACCTTTACTTTTACCACTATTTCCTTCATATTTTCTTCTACCTCTCCATCAAACAAATTATTCCTGATTCCTCCATCTGGCATATGCAGCCAAAGGACGCACCAACATAGAACTTCGCGAGCAGTTCATCCTAGCAGATGGCGTGTCTCAAACGATGACTGCCTTCAAACCTAAAACATCAGCTTCAAGTCCTGGCTCAGGTTCTGCAAGCAGCTCACTACGCACGCCTGCTGCTGGGCCTATCACTAAGGTATTATTACAGTACACTTAATTTACAGTTATAACCTTTTATACGGGCAGTATTGGAATCATTTTCATAAAACGGTAATATTTATTTCAAGTATTTTAAAGCATACTAGTTTAAATATATTACATTTGTAATAAAATAACTGGTTTTGTATGTACTTATGTTAGTGGATTATCAAGGTATCCTTTAAACATTATTTGAGAATAAAATATGACAAACAGGAATATAAGCAATTCATGGTAAGGTAAGGTTTTAAGTACTTTTTCTACTAACAACTTACTACGTATCCTACTTACGAATAGTTATTTAATATTAAGGTAAGAAAATGACGTGGCGCTAGATTTGTGTCTCTGTGTTTATCAGAACCAGTTTAAAATAGTTGTTGTAAAAGTGGTCCTCAGGAGATTCAGTTGTTTCACAAATATTGGAAATGTTTCAGATATAGAGTCTATAAAATATGCATGCCTCCTTATTAATGTTTATTTTAAGCCTGTTAGAGCTTTTTATCTTATTTAGCATGATGTATCAATCAAAATAACTTTTTACTACTGCTACTGTTATAATTCACTTGGTTCTGTTTTCATGTTTCTAAAATCTTCAAAAAACATTTTTTAATAATATTGACTAGTTAAAGAGAGTCAATAATATTTAATTTTATTTAAATATGAACCTATTTTATAAAGGTAGAAGTTGATAAATGGTATTATTCCTTTCTTCATCTAAATAAATTTCACACTCACATACATTTCTTGATTAATACTACCTCCAAATAAATTAGTATAACCATATTACTCTAGCCGAAGAGCACTTAGCAGAGTTAATGCCAATATTTGAGAAGTTACGTGCGAAAGGAGAAGTTGGCAGTGCATATCCGATGCACGTGGGTTCTACCTCAGGCCCTACTATTCATATGGCACGTGTCCACCCGCACACTACTCACTGGGTAATAATACTAAAACAAACTTTATACTCACACTAATAATGCAAGATTGCTAAACAATGATGATTTATACTTTTTTTATTCAATGTTAAATTTTAAACAATATGATTGATATTTGATAAAAATAATTTTTCAAGAAATAATAATTTATAATCAATGTAAATCGATTTTAAAAAATATTAATTGTTTATTAAATTAAATACTGAATATTGGTTTTCAGAAATCTATCTTAATGTGAATAAAAAAAGAAATGGTTTGTATTAGAATACTAATTTTTAATGGGAGTGTTTTCTTGGTGGTGTGGTTACTTAGTATTTTTGTTTATTTAGTTTTAGTTTGCTAGCTTCTTAATTATTAAGTTTAGCTTTTGCAAGATTTCGATTCGTAAGTCACTGCACAATAGGATCGTTCTATACTTAATATTCTTTAATATTCATATCATTTCCCCTCTTAGATCTTTATTTAGTTCGAAATTTATTAATTTATGTTTCCAATTTTGCAAATAAAAGATCTACTTGCCTAATTTATATACATTTAGCGCAGTTAATTTTACTAATTAATTGCAAAATTGGACGTAGTGTAGTAGTTATATCCATTTAATTCAATAACCATAAATTGGCAGTGGCTGTGATTGGACCCGAGACGGATCATCATAAACTGTTGTATCTTTCACAACTGCCATTGGTATGTACACTTCGTATATTCTAACTTATTAATCGATTTTATAAATTTAAATCATCTACTTTTTCTTAATTTTCCGTGTATAACATTTCATTGTTATATCTAAGTAAAATTGTTAAATTGCATACGATTAATAAATATAGGGGAAGTGAAAAAGAATTTAGACAAACAACAAATAAGTACCGTTAAAATGGAGCGAATCATAAATTTTTAAAGAAAGTTAATATTTTTATAATTTATATTTACAGCTACTATATGATTAATATATATAAAATTATTGTTTTTCCATATTTATTTAGTGTGAATAGAGGTAGTCAGAATATCATAAACCTTGGTCTTGGATTGCGTAAAATTCCGCTCGTTCCTTAATTTCATCATTTCTGCTTAAAGATATTGGCCGTGGTCATTTACAGTTTATTTGGAGCTATAGACAAACTGCTGGATGCTGACACGAAATCCATATGAATAGGTGGTAATGTTAATAACAGGTAACGTCTTTTCAGCCAATAGAATATATCCTATGAATTTACAAGTTCGGTATAATGGCAAATTTTAATATGAAAAAATTAAAATTATAAATTATGAAATAAAAATCCCGGTATTAATTAATAAAAATAGTTTTGTCATTTTGAGTAAAGATATAAAGGTGATATTTAACAACAACAAAGTATTATAATCATTTGGAATTTTTAATTCTTGTATCTCTTAATTGAATATCATTTAGAAGTTTTTAATTTTTGTTTATAGGTTGATAACTAGATTTTTATTTGTCTCAGTTAGTAAAGTACATTTGTTATTTAGGGATCCTGCAGTTATTTTCAATGTTATATTTATTTGGCTTTCAAATAATAACCTAAATATCATGTAAGTCTACTCGGCAGGGTAATATCAAGTCCATGTCATTTCTAATATTTCATTTAAATTAATGTTTTTCAACAATATCATTTTTAAATACCTAACTTTGATGAAGTTCAGATATTAATTAATAAATACTGGTATGCAAGGGAAAAAAAATAGGGAAAGAGCGAATATAAAGATAGGAGACGAAATGTTAGAAGAACTGACTGATTTTGGGAAATTTAGGAAGTCAGATAAGTCAAAACGGAAGGAGTAGAAGTAGAATATAAAGCAGAGGATAGCGCAGGGTCGAGTCGCCTTGAATAAAAAGTAGTCACTTCTATGCTCGCGAACGGTTCATTTAGAAATTCGAAAAAGATTGTCAAAAATGTATGTTTGGAGCGTGGCGCTGTACGGGTGCGGGACGGTAAGCGCGAAATGCGAAGATTAACTCAGGATAGGAAAGAGTAGAGGTGCATATCCAACCAGTCTTAGGACTGACGATGATGATTAAAAATTACCATAGGGTGCCACTACGCTGAACTTGTAAATTCATAGGATGCATTCTATTAGCCGAAAAGTTTTAAATATAGAAAATTACCTGTCGTCAATATTACCATCTATTCATTGTTATTATTTATGACCTTCCTGTCAACACCAAATGGTTTGTTTATACATAGTAAAAAGCCGAGTCATTGTTTTCAAAATGTTCCGCCTCTCGCACATGTGAAGGCTCATGAGATTATAAATTGACTATACTCCTAAAATTGCAGTTATAAATCTGGTAATTAAATTTTAAAATTGCAAACAAAAGGGTTCTATATAAATTCACTGTTTATAATAATTAACGGTATTCAGTTATTATTTATTAACTTTAAAGTATAATTAAAGTTATAGGAGGTATATAATTACAGTTGTAAGAGGTATGTTTTGATGGACTTAGATTAAATTATTTTATAAATCCAAAACAAGTAGGTAGGTATACGTATATTCTTCTGGTAATTGTCTAAAAGGTTAAATAATATTTTCATAATTTTAATCAAATGTAGTAAGGTAAGTTATTACAAGAAATTGCATTTTTACTTTTAGTTCTTATTGTAGCATTAGTCGTATTGTGTTTATTATACATATGTAATTGATTGTTTGTGTTTATTGACTTAATTTTTGTATAAAATAAACCATGGAAGTACAAAACCTATTACTATACATATACAGTAAAGACTCTATTGGCGTGGTCGATTGCTCTTTTTAGAATCGTACAGATAATTGAAAATCTAGATAATATATATGGGGAGAAAACAAATTTTAGATACATGATGTTATGTTTGGTTTCAAAAGGATGACTAAGAAAGGATAACTTTTAAAAATAATTTAAGCGCGGTAGATAATTTGGATAATCATATATTGAGACCTACATAATCGAGTCTTTGCTGCACTTCATAATTACTAAAACGTTCAAAGTAATTAAACAATTAAATATTAATCTTTGCCGTAACGAATCAGTTTTGAGCAATATTTTTGTGGGATAAATTGCTTATATTTCTGAAAAAATAAATGAAATGTTTTAAAATTTTCTGTTCGCATGATTTTTATTAATCGAGATTGTTAAAAATGTTTTATTTTGGGTAAGCGATTTAACTTAATATACTTCTCTAGGTACGAGAAAGATCTGCGAGATCAGTACCAATGAGCTCCAGTGGAGCACCTCGACATTCCAAAACATCATTATCAGGAGGCACCCCAGAATCACTATCAGATACAGAAGGACCCTCCACAAAAACACCAAGGAAATTTTCGTACAGATCTCCCTATGCCTATACTCCCAGTGGTTCAAGACCAAGTTCTCGTCCAAGTTCCAGATCTGGTAGCAGACCAGGAAGTAAACCGCCTTCCAGGCATGGTTCAAACTTGTCCTTGGATAGCACCGGTAAGATCCCATAACAAATTTATTGTTTTATTACGGCAGTATATCGGCATCCACTAGTATTGCTGCTGCAGGTGGAACGTTCAAAATTGGCCTAGTCGGCAATAAAACTGTGGCATTTACTTACTCCTTTCAACTTACAATTAGTAACTGACTAGAGCGATTACTGACAGAACGCCTACTTCGTCTGTAGTGAGTAAACAGACG